TATATATACTATACATTATATGTTTTTTTTAATGTTTATTTTTTTATTGAATTTTATGAAATAATATGAATTTTATATCATACATTTTATGCTATATGAATGATAAAAAAATATTCAATTTTAATGTTTTAATTAATGCTATCGATAGTTTTGAAAAAGTATTTATTGCAGACAAATTTAAAGAGTTAGAAAAATAGAGACAAATAAAATATGTTTCTGTTTCTTTATAGTTACAATAAATTTTTATCTTGTTAAGGCTTAAAGTAAAGGCTTTATATTTGATTTTTGAAATTGATTTTTTATTCATATGAATATTCAATATTTTAAAAGTACAATTTATAATACAGTACATTCATAATTCAAAACAATTGAAATTTATAGAATTATATAAATATTTTAAAGAAAAATTGTTAAATTTTTTTATAATAGATTATCCTTATTTATATTTGATCACTTTTGAATGAAATAAAATAATATTAAAAAAATTTTTTTTCATTTTTTGAATTTCATGAAAACATATATTTTATCTTATTTTCAAACTATTTCTTTATTGTAATATGATAAAACAATAAAAATTTATTACATATATTAATTTTTGAATTATTTTTTTCCTTTTTTAGTGATATAATTTTACATAACACATACATACATATTATTATTTTTAAAATAATAATTATTATTTAAAGAAACAATTAAAAAACATTTAAAAATATATAAAACATATATCAAATATACAATAATTATTTTATAGTAAATAAAACATTGAACATTTCTATTTTAAAAGAATAGAAAATAATTCAAAATTATAAGAATATCAATGTTTATATAATAGATAGCAAAATATACAAATAATAAAAACATTATTTGATTGCCAATGATATTGAATAAAAATATTAATCAATCAATAATATTGAATAATAATAATAATAATAATTGATACATTATCACATTATATTATTAGATTTTTTTACGATCAAAATATTTTCACATATATTTTTATGTATTTTTCTATTTTTCCATTGTTTATAGTATAAATATATAATTTCTCATTATTTTTAGAGTTTTATTATATTATTTTTATAATAAATATTCTTGTCATATTTTTATATTAAAAATTATATGCTAATTAAATTATAAAAATTATGTTTCACGCAAAATGAAAAATTTTATTGCAACGAAACTTTTTAAAATTTTGTCATCATTTATTTTTTAAATAATCATATTTTATTTACATCGATCTATTCGAATATTTTGAAAACTATTGATAATTTAGATTGCGAATTTTTATATAAAACTTTTTATATATTTTGTAAATATTTTAGAAATATAATATTTTGCATATTATAATATTTTGTTTATCTTTTTAAAAAGCATATATATATATTACATTTTAAATATTAAATATGTTAAATATTAAATATTAAATATGTTAAATAATATATATATTAAAGTATATTTATATACTTAATAAAGTAAATGTATGATAATCTACGATAAATCTACGATAAAAAAAATCAGAAATTATTAGTTTATTCAAATTTCATATAAATATTCACGAAATTTTTTAATTGTATACTGATATATAGAATGTAAATTGTGACGAACAATTCAAAAAAAAATAAATAAATGCATGTTTCTAAAAAATCGTACTATATAAAATCGTAAACATATTAAACAATAATATGAATAAATTTTATTGTATCATTAAAAAAATTATATGGTCTATGAATATAAAATATGCATTTATCATATTTTATGATATAGAATGGTCATTTTTAATAATTAATAAATTAATTAATAAATAATAATAAATGTGAATTTAAACTCCACAAATATGGAGAAATTATTTGTAATTTATCCTAATGACAATTATGGATTATTGTAATAACAATTATGGATTATTCATTATAAATAATTATGTTATTATATTAATTAAAACAAAAATGTTAAATATTCATTATATCAATTTAAATTATGTTATATGCAATATATTTATTTTATATTGAATTATAAATATATTTATATAATATATCTATGCATATTTTATACTTCATAAATATAAATTTCATTGTTATAATATCTTGTTTGTAATATATGTGGTTTGTATAACAATTTAATGATATTAAAAGATATTTTAAATAAAAATTGAGAGATTTGAAACAGTATTTTGATTAATATAGAAGCTTTTTTCTAAATCAAATCTAATAGACTTGAGAAAGTAACTTCATATTTCTTAAGTGAAATCATATTTTTCTAAGTGTAAAACGATATAATTACTTGTTATTTATAAAAAATTACTAAGTCAAATATACCAAAAAACATTTATTTATTACATTAACATTTTTATTTAATTAGTAAAATGTAAAATAAAACGTAATTTAATTAATAAATTTTAACTTATTGAATATTGAAAAATTGATTTTTTGATATAAATGATTTTAGATTTTTCATATAATTAATAAATTAAGTTATTAATTGAGTCCATTTATATATTTAAAAAGCTTTTTATAAAAATTTTATTTTTATAAAAAATATTAATTTCCAAATATCTTTTATGATTCAATCTAAGAAAAATCTTTTAAAATCAAGTATTTCAAAATATTTCAAAATATTTTTCAATATTTCAATCAATTTTTTCGAAATATTCGGATGAATCGAATTAAATGATACTGTATATATAATAAATGAGATACTGTATATATATAAAATATATGCATATATAAATATATATATTAACACATATATAATTATATTTTTAACACATATATAATCATACATATAAATTTGTTTTATCGCTTTATTGCTATTATTATTTAGTTGAAATGTAATAGATTTTATTTAATATGAAACCATTAAAGTCTAAATGATTTTAAACATTCGTGAAATAATAGGCTATTTCATATATAATAATATAATTTGCGGTCAACACTTGACGCTTTTTTAATCCTTGTCTTGGATATTTGAGGTTTGAATTCTATATGAACTTTTAGCATATATTTTTTATTTGTTTCAAAGAAAGAAAGAAAACGTTTCAATAAAAAAATTCGATCATGTTATAATTGTCATAAAAAATATAATTTTATAATTTTATATTTCTTAAAAATTTTGCAATAAAAATGCAATTATTATTACATATTTCTCATTATTATACCGTTCTATTTTTATTTCTTCAAAAATGATTTGACACAAATCTGATTTAAAAATTGCATGAGTCATAAACGATCCAGTTCACAATCCACTGTATGAAAATTAAAGAAGTGAACGATCTTAATACTCATTTATACGCGTTACTTATAGAGCGCGTCTTTCACAGTTGTATTCAAATTTAAATATACTTCTTTATGCACAAAAAGCCTTCTGCCTATCATCCCTCCCATGCGTACAGATTTGTGACACTCCTTGGAACATACACATATATTTATGTGTATATAAGTCTAACTTATAGAAATGTCGACAAGTGGTAGTCTCACAATAAAAAAAGCTTCTTATCTTTTTATCTAATTTCCTGACGACACCGCCGCCACAGCTGTTCTTTATCTGCTTCTTGCTCATCACCGTATATACTTACATACAATTCCCTAAGTCGATCTAACATATTAGATATTTTCCGAAGAACTTTTCAAACTTCTATCGACGAAGCACGACTCGACGAGTGAAACACGGAGAAAGAAGGAAAAATGATAAAAAAAAGAAAAAGGAAAAACATAGAGCGGATAGGTGAAAAGATTAAAACGAAGATGTATGTATATAGGTGGAAATGCATAAGGATGTCGACACATATGGGATGAAACGAGGAAAGAAGAGCATTCGTTAAGTTTCGGTGGTCGTGGGAATCGATTTACGATATCTGGAAGTGGTGCACGTGCACACTGATGTATTTTTGCCAGGCGGCGCGAAGGCAGAAGAGACTGCATCCTCTATTTGCATCCTTGAAAACTGCACTCTGCTAGGCTCGAGCTAGCAAGAGGTCGTTAGCCACTA